GCATTCCATCTACAAATAAAAGTATAGCACCTCTAAGATATAATTGATTAACATAGCATTGATTTAGCCTAAAGAAAAACAATGTCTATTTTTACTATTGTATATGGCAAAATCATTTTGCATACGGTATTTATCGTACTGCAAAATCCAGACATTGTTTAAGCTATTTAATTTAATGATCTCCGGGTTTTGGAGATGAAGACCCAAACAGGCCTGAATTTGTTCCCAATTTCAGACAGACCAAATGCCTCCAGATGGCTGAAATTTGCACCAAATGAATCAAATTTATGCTCAGAGGCTTCAAATCCAGACCCAGAAAACAACCAGCAGACAAATAATTAAATATCCCTAGTTGGCGCAACGATTAATTATGTGGAGGCTGGTCAGCACTTTCTAGCCAGCTGGCAAATTAAAAAAGTAAAACAAAAATAAATCAATAATAAAAATCTTTTGGGGATCAATCAGACTATAATGAAGGCATTTTGCCTGAACCAACCATATCTTCTAAAACTAAAAAGGCCTGATCTCATGGTCCCCATTGTCACCACCCATGGGTATTGGATGGAGGACAATGAAAAAATAATAGTGGGTGGACAGATCAGCCATGGTCAGTGATTCTTTCTCAAGTCAGAACACTCTTGAACTTACTAACTAACCAATCAGAACTCTCCCACGCAATGTAATAGTTGACATAGCACGGGAAAGTCCTTATAAGTCTTATTTATTTATTCTAAGTATTGACAACTGTTCTAATGTGTATTATATTATCTTAATATTTAAGATGGGGGGAATCAAATATAAAGTTAAAAATATTCAGTACAAATAAAAACAATAAAAGTAAATAAAAAATAAGTTCAAAGGTCTAAAGAGTGACCACAAACTCTCATAAATAAATGTAAGCTCATTGAGCAGGGCCCTCCACCTCTCTGTTCCTGTACGTCCAGTCTGTTAGTCCACCCATTGTACAGCGCTACGGAATCTGGTGGCGCTATATAAATTAAATAATAATAATAATAAATAAACAGACTACAGCAAAGAACAGAATGAACAAATCATCTTAGACCATGGTATAGACCAGAGCTATAAATCACAATAACAAAAGCTATAATAGCAAAAATAATAGGAAATAAATAAAAATGGCCACTATAAGTCCCAAAAGTGTCATTATAATGATGATCCACTTGGGCAAATATTAAATAATCTGCAGAATACCATAGTGCTTTCCATAAAAACAGATACTTTACTGAACAAACAAGTTACATTGACAATTGCAATTTGTTTTTGGAAGGGAAGTCCTGACACTCTTACCTACATACGAAAATCTTTAGAAAAACGGTGGATTGTAACAGTTTCATACCTGCTCACAGTCTCCATGAGAAAATACGGCTCAACAATATTCCATATAACCAATTTAGGAAAATAGCATGTAACTGCTCTGAGACCCAGTTTTGTAAATCCCAAATGCTGGAGATAAAACATTATTTTTTGACAAAAGGAAATAGTGTGGATTTGTTAGATACAGCCATGGATAAAGAACAGACTTTACCTACGTCTCAGACCTTGGTGAGAAAGGTTCTAAAGAGATCTGTTATGGATCGGAATAGACCAGCCTTCATCACCAAATTCAGAAATCAATATAATACTGTCATACCCATTATTAAAAAAAACAAAAAAAACCTTTGGGATATTCTGACAGGGGATCCAGAATTTATAAGATTCTGTGATAATTCAACATTATCTTTTCTAGAGCCTCCTAATTTGAAGTTTATTTTGGCATCAATAGTTAAACACCAACACTGGAGGATTAAAACAGGCAAATAGTTGAATGGATCTTAACATGTGACAACTGTGAAGGATGCCATATGTATCCATGTAAGACTAAGAGGGATTTAGAATATATATATATATATATATATATATATATATTGTGATAAAGTGAAGGCAGATAGGCCTTTTAACCCCAGGGGGAGTATGTGTAGTTTGTGTTTTGCACAACACAACACATTGTTTAGTTATGGGCCCCTGGGGTGGAGCATTTGGAGAGAAGGGTGGGCCAATGCTCCACTCCACAGTTTAGTGGTTTTCTGGGGAGACATAGATCCAGGCCAGGGTTTTTTGGACTGTCTCCAACCCACTGCTCAGCTGCAGGTAATCAGCTGTTGCAGTGGGAATAAACTCCTCCCGGCTAGGCAGGAAAAGGAGAGGGATTGCTGGCTTCCTCCCAGGAAGCAGGTAGGAGAGAGAGGCTGTTCTCTCCAGATAGTCAAGGTGACTAGGCACTTGGAGTGCAGAAAGGAAGCAGTCAGGGCAAGACTGGCTTGGAGCACTGGGAGTGCAGAAAGGAAAGCAGTCAGGGCAAGGCTGGCTTGGAGCACTGGGAGTGCAGAAAGCAAAGCAGTCAGGGCAAGGCTGGCTTGGAGCACTGGGAGTGCAGAAAGGAATGCAACAGGCTAGGCAGCAGAGTGTTGCTAACTAATAAGGTTGGTGCAATATTGTGTTTAGTTTAACCCTGAGAGATAGGGAACTAATGTCAGTTAGTGCTCAGACGAGCTAGGTGTTTGTTTATAGGGTTTTCTGTTACTTTTGTTTTTCATTTTCTGCTGTATCCTGTGTGGATTTGCAAATAAAGTGCCTGAGTATATGCAATTACAAGGACTGTGCATGTTTTTACCCTAGAGGGCCGTGCTACCTGCAAACAAGGATCACAATATGGTGGAGAATGCGGGCACAGTAGCACAGTGAGGGTCTGTGGGTGTGCCAGTCATTTGGTAGTCTGCTTGAGGACTTTTATTTTTGCAGACCTGTTACGCAAACAAGTAGCACTGTACCTTTAAGACTGTTACCTGCTTGGTGCTATAATGGAGGACCTGCTGAGAGCTGTGGTACAGGCAACGGCTAAACAACAAGGCACAAACAGTTTCCTGGCTGCACAGGTTAAGAACCTGAGGGACGCTCAGCAGGAGCATAGAGCTGCCCTTACTGAGGTTTTGCAGATTGCCCCCTGCAGGGAGCGTGGGGACAAGGGACCCCATAACCAAGCTACTGACATCCTGCATAAGATGACAGAGGCAGTAGAAGAAGTCTTCAGCAAGCTGAAAAGCATGGAGGCAGCAAAGTGTGCTGTTGAGAAACACACAGGAGAGAAAGAACAGGAATTAAAAGGCAAGAAGGATTAAATTGAGCCTGAAAGAAGTGATAAAATGAAAGAGGGTGAAAAGCCAGCTGGATCCTCAAAGGAACAAAAAGAAAAAAAGTTAGTAAAGAGTCCAGCAAAGCTAAAGGAAAAAGCGGAATTGCCAAGAGGCAGTGATGGTGACACTGATGACATGGAATTAAAGGCGGGACTCGGAATGCCTGACCGGCTGTTTGATACCAGGGCTGTAATGACCCAGCGAGAGGCCATGACTTCGTCTCTGGACAACCCCATAGGGAGCAAGGCAGGTTCCCAGGGATTCGCAGAACAGATGGAGGATGTTGTGGAGCCCTTCGTGGAGGGACTTGTTCCAGTGAAGGATGAGCTGGTGACAGAACCAGGTCTTGAAGAGGTTGAGCACCTGGAAAATTCAGCTCATGAAGGAATTGGACGTATAGCTACACGCCAAGCCTTTGCAAAGTTTGCTTTTGAAAGTTACTCTAACGTTGAGAGATTATCAAATCAGAAGCTGCTATGGATGTGGAAGCAGATGATGATTCAGAGGAACTTGGCTACTAAGGAGCCACACCAGGCCCGGACTGGCCATCGGGCACACCGGGCAAATGCCCGGTGGGCCGCGGTGGCCGTGGGGCCGAGGCCGGCAGGGGAGGTCCCAGGATCTCCCCTGCCGGTCTATGCAGGGCCGGCACTCTCCCAGCGCCGGCCCCGCTGTTTGCCACGACGGGCCGGTGGGGAGATCAAGGATCTCCCTGACCGGCCCACATGCGGCCGCCGGCGGGCAGAGAGGGAGCCAGGCTGGAGAGAGGACCCAGCGGAGCTCTAACTTTCAGCTCCGCTGGGTTCCTCTCGCGAGATCTGGCGCGTTGATCTCGCGAGAGTGAACTCTAGCCAGTGAACCCAAGAGGACCACCAGGGAACACTGCCACCCTGCCTCCCAGCGTGCCGGTCCCCCCCTCCCAGGCTAAAGGTAAGAAGGGAGGGGGGACATAATGCCTGTTTTTTTTATTTTATTTTTTTATTTACCCCCCCTACACACACACAATATAACATTTATACAGCACTCTCACACCCATCACACACAGCACTCTCACACCCATCACACTCACAGCACTCTCTCACACAGCACTTTCACACACAGCACTCTCTCACAGAGCACTCTCACACACACACAGCACTCTCTCACACAGCACTTTCACACACACACAGCACTCTCTCACACAGCACTTTCACACACAGCACTCTCTCACAGAGCACTCTCTCACACAGCACTCTCACACCCATCACACTCACACCACTTTCACACACACAGCACTCTCTCACAGAGCACTCTCACACACACACAGCACTCTCTCACACAGCACTCTCACACCCATCACACACAGCACTCTCACAGAGCACTCTCACACCCATCACACTCACAGCACTTTCACACACACAGCACTCTCTCACAGAGCACTCTCACACACACACAGCACTCTCTCACACAGCACTCTCACACCCATCACACACAGCACTCTCACAGAGCACTCTCACACACTCACAGCACTCTCTAACACCCATCACACTCACACCCATCACACTCACAGCACGTTCACACACACAGCACTCTCACACACACACAGCATTCTCTCACACAGCACTCTCACAGAGCACTCTCACACACACACAGCACTCTCTCACACAGCACTCTCACACCCATCTCACACAGGGCACTCTCACACGGCACTCTCACACCCATCACTCACACTGCACCCTCACACACACACACATACTGCACCCCTCACATACACACAGAACCCCCCCAACACACTGCACCACACACATACACAATACTTCCAAATATATATGTGTGTGTGTGTGTGTGTGTGTATATATATATATATATATATATATACACACACACACACACACACACACACACACACACACACACACACACACAACACTCTTAAAGGACCACTCTAGCCACCCAGAACACTTCAGCTTAATGAAGTGGTCTTGGTGCCAGGTCCTTCTAGGGTTAACCCATTGTTTTATAAACATAGCAGTTTCAGAAAAACTGCTATGTTTATCAATGGGTTAAGCCTTCCCCCAAAACCTCTAGCAGCTGTCTCATTGACCGCCGCTAGAGGCACTTGCGTGCTTTGCACGCAAGCGTCCATAGGAAAGCATTATAAATGCTTTCCTATGCGACCGGCTGAATGCGAGCGCAGCTCTTGCTGCGCGTGCGCATTCAGCCGACGGGGCGGATCGGAGGAGGAGAGCTCCCCGCCCGGCGCAGGAAAAAGGTAAGTTTTAACCCCTTTCCAGAGCCGGGCGGGAGGGGGTCCCTGAGCCACATATGCATCACATTACACCACAAACACAACACGACTAAAACCGACCTTATTACACAATACGACCAGCTCACTCTACACACACGCAATACCACAAGCAGGCTCCAAACACATGCACAATACTCTTTCCTGGCCTTTTGTCTCCTGGTATCCATTTATAGAGACACCAGAGACAAGTTGCAAGGAAACACAGTGCAAGCATGTTATTAAATTTGCTTGCACTGTGCAGAACAAATACAGGACTTTTTTCTAATGCTAGAGCTCTTCAGCAGAGCTCTGCGCATGGTCTGCCCTGGAAGAGCATTGAACAAACATGCTCACTTTGAGAGGAGGCGTGTTTGTCATTGGTGATGACAAAACACACCTCCTATGCCCCGCCCCCTTTTTAGTGGGCCGCTGTGTTAAAAAAATGCCCGGGCCGAATTTTTCTCCCAGTCCGGCCCTGAGCCACACAGTACTGATCCTCAGCCTAGATCCGCTAGCAACCAGATAAGCGGGGAAACTGGAAAGCAAGGACAAAGTCTGGGACAATATACCTATGATGGTAGAACGTACCTAAAAGTCCTATTTTGGCTACGAGACCAGACTGAGAAAAACTGCTTTAACTGCCACATGCAAGGACATATTGCATATAACTGTCCTGAGACTGAAGAGCCAATACAGTGTGACATAGGAATAATGGCTCTGCATAGGATTGTATTGACTTGCTTAAAGATGTGTATGGTGACTGGTGGTGTTACAGCACAGCTAAAAGTGGTGATGGTGGTAGGGAAGAGTGCACAAGTACTGATAGATTCAGGGAGTGAGGTTACTTTGATGAAAAGTGTTCTGTTCCAGCCAGAGTATGCAGCTGCCTACCTTGATGTGGCGTTTCACAAGGTTAATTGCGTAGCACACCTGATGAAGGTCCGGTTAGTTGTGAATAATGTAAGGGCTACCGGTTTGACCGCTAACACTGCTAACTATTTGGGTTATCCACTTGGGCGGGGGCTCCTTAAAATACAAGGGAGCAAGGTAGCAGCCATCTGCAATAGGCCACGTCTTGTAACTGAGGAGCAAGTCAGGGCTGGTACAGCCCTAGGTGACATGAATGTTCACGGTTTGTGTTCTAAGGCCGCTCGACCCGATGGGTCTGAGCTGGGGAGGAGGATATGTGATAAAGTGAAGGCAGATAGGCCTTTTAACCCCAGGGGGAGTATGTGTAGTTTGTGTTTTGCACAACACAACACATTGTTTAGTTATGGGCCCCTGGGGTGGAGCATTTGGAGAGAAGGGTGGGCCAATGCTCCACTCCACAGTTTAGTGGTTTTCTGGGGAGACATAGATCCAGGCCAGGGTTTTTTGGACCGTCTCCAACCCACTGCTCAGCTGCAGTTAATGAGCTATTGCAGTGGGAATAAACCCCTCCCGGCTAGGCAGGAAAAGGAGAGGGATTGCTGGCTTCCTCCCAGGAAGCAGGTAGGAGAGAGAGGCTGTTCTCTCCAGATAGTCAAGGTGACTAGGCACTTGGAGTGCAGAAAGGAAGCAGTCAGGGCAAGACTGGCTGGGAGTGCAGAAAGGAAAGCAGTCAGGGCAAGGCTGGCTTGGAGCACTGGGAGTGCAGAAAGCAAAGCAGTCAGGGCAAGGGTGGCTTGGAGCACTGGGAGTGCAGAAAGGAATGCAACAGGCTAGGCAGCAGAGTGTTGCTAACTAATAAGGTTGGTGCAATATTGTGTTTAGTTTAACCCTGAGAGATAGGGAACTAATGTCAGTTAGTGCTCAGACGAGCTAGGTGTTTGTTTATAGGGTTTTCAGTTACTTTTGTTTTCATTTAACTGCTGTATCCTGTGTGAACTTACAAATAAAGTGCCTGAAGTATTTGCAACTACAAGGACTGTGCATGTTTTTGCCCTAGAGGACCGTGCTACCTGCAAACAAGGATCACAATATATAATTTCATTCTAAGTGTATTTTGATATATATATATATATATATATATATATATATATATATATATATATATATATATATATATATATATATATATATATATATATATATATATATAATACTACCAAAACTACATGAGCCCTGAGAGTTTGTATTAGTTAACATATACTCATTTGAAAAGGACTACAATCTCATAACATTTCTAAGTATGCTAGCCTATTTCACACTCAGAATCCTAATGAGTTACTCTCTATGGCAATAGAGAAGGTTAATATTCAATGTAAAAGTGGGAATATCAATATGTAACTGTATAAGATAGAGGCCAAATGGATTTTCACTTTGCATACATTGAAGCCCAATGGTTTTAACACAGATTTAAAACTGAATGCCTTCTTAACTGATTTTTATTTTATCCCCTCTTCCTGGTATACTTTTTATGCATTTTCTTATATTGTTTTAATATTATCTGGTCTCCATTTTTATTTGCCTCAAGTCCTTTTTGCAATATGTTTTAAGGTACATTCTGCTTGCCTTTTACAGTAACGTATGTATAATGTACGTAATGTACTTTTTAATGGATTATATATTTTATATGCATTTCTTGGTTAGTGCACATCCCATTATTCTTATTTTAGCTATTTTTTTTAATTTAATATGTATATTACTATGTTTTATTTACTATGTTTAAATTTTGGTTATTTTTTTTAGTAGATGTAGTTTTTTTTGGTAGGGGTATACTTATTACTACAACCAGGCTGTTTTTTTAATGCAATTATGTCTTCTTTGTAAGTATTTTTTCTTAGTTTTGAATCTTAATATACCATATTATATATATATTTTTTTAGAATTGAGTCTAACGATATGTTTTTGGGAATGGTTAGTTCCATGATAATGTCTGGCCTTCACAATTTTCTTTTTTTTTTTTTTTTTTCAGATACAGAAATAAATGTAAAAAAAAACAGCCAAAACTAAACAAACAAACAAAAAAATATATAACTGCTAATAGCATAGGTAAACTGGCAATATATTGTGATATAGGCACTGTGTAAAATTAAACACCGAATGTTTCCACATAAAGTACAGTGTTTCCATTGAAAACCATCATACGCCCGATGTATATTTCATTCACGTTACATTTGTCCACTGCCAGTCGCTATCAAAGAGAATTAACACCAGAAATTTCCATGGTATAGCTGTCACATTAATAGACATACAAATAGATAGATAAATAAAATAATAATAAGAGAAAAAATAAAATAAGTAACTAAATAAATATAAAAATGAAAAAAAATAAGAATAAAAAAAAAAAATTATAATGCAAAATAAATTACATTCTCTGAGACTCGATATGGGGGGAACCACAATATGTGATCATGAATTCTGTCTATTTGTCCAGGGTAACCAAAATTTGGCCACATCTCTAATACCAAAAAAGGGGTTTGATTCCATCCTGTATTGATAATCTATTTGCTCCATAATATTGTGCCATATTAATGGGATAGAAGATTTCCAGGCCCTAGCTATACATATTTTAATGGCAAAAAATATATGGGTCAAAAGATATTTTTGATATTTATCTTGCGAAGGGAAACCAATATTAAAAAGAAAAAGTTGAGGGCTAATTTCTTTTAATAAAATGAGAGAGGACGGTGGTTGCGCACACCTCCTCCTTAAAAAAAGAATTAATAAGGCCGAACATTTGAATTTTTATATTATCAAGACCGTGACATTCCCACCATATATGATAAATAGTGCCCTCCTCATTTCCGCATATCCAACAATTCTTAGAGTGTACAGATGATATTTTATATAATCTAGAAGGTACCATATACCACCTATATATTATCTTTAAATGTGTTTCATAGAGAGAAACGCTATGTATATAGCGTTTAACTAGAAGTGTAGCTTTGGTCCATTCCTTAAGTGAAAAAGATTCCCCAATATCTTGTTCCCATTTAACAAAGGAGGTAGCATGAGAGTCTTGTTCCATTGATTCTAGCACCTTAGTAAATCTAGAAATCCCTCCCTTCTTTTTATATAAAACAATAAGGGGGTTAACGCTGTGAACCTTAAGTATTGTCCGAGATAATAAAAAGTTCTTAATCCTTAGATATTGAAAAAGATCTCTAGGGGAAAGATTAAACTTTTCTTGCAATTGTATAAATGTGATAGGTTTACATCCATCCCATAGATCCGAGATCTTCACTAGGCCTAGGTGTGTCCAAGATTGAACATTTATGTTATCCATTATGTGTTGTAGGACCACTAATGGAACCCCATATAATAATTTATCTTCTAGCTTCAATTTTTTATTTAGGATTTTGGAAGTATTAATCATATCTATCAATAAACGGTTCGAAAAATTCTTAGTATCCAATTCACCCAAATTTAACATACCCATCCAAAAAAGAATAAACAATTTATATCTAGGGCTATCCTCCTGCTCCAGGGTAAGCCATGATATATGTCCCTGTTCCTTGTCCAGCCACTGTAGAAGATGAGTCGCCATACATGCTTCATGAATTTTATCAACATCTGGAAATGCTATACCACCCTTCTGATAACTCCTTCGAAGAGTGTCAAAAGCTATCCTAGGTGGTTTATTTGCCCAAATACATTTGGAAATCAAAGTTTGAAAACGATTAAGAATA